AGTAGACAATTTAGTGTATGGAGTCTTAGCTCATGCACGGAAGATTAAATTGTCAGTTCTCATAATTAATAAACTATGTTCACAATCGAAGATATTATTGGGCAAAATATCTTGATGATTGCAGCACAAGATTATAGTATATATAAAATATTTTCTCTAATTCATTAAATGAGCTTATACTCCTAATCTTGATATAATTATTATGATGAATGTGATTTATTTATTATTTTAATTTATCAAAAGGTACAACTTTATTCAAAGTTAGTGTATGCCTAATAGATTGGACAATAACGAATAGCATTTGTGAAATAATAATTAGTTGATAGAATCTATAACTCGGTTTTAAGTTTGATGATGCCCCTTTATGTAAGCTTATAAGTTTTCATGTGAAAATTCGGCCGGTGAATTTTGTATCTGTCACATGAAATAGTTTAAGCGGAATTACAAGATTTGATTAGTTGTTAAATTAAATTGTTAGTGATTTAATTTAATTAACTGGTATTTGGGATCTTAACATGGGGAATTAAAATAAGTGTTGATGAATTTTTGAAATTCATATTGAGGAGTTCAATTGCAGTTTTTTAGTGGAATAAACTGCAATTAATTATAGTAGGAATTAATTCATGCAAAATTTCGAATTAATACTATAATTGGTAGCCTCTTATTATTTCTATGGTCCCTGCTATACCTAGTAAAACCTGGACTGACTTGGGTAAAAATCGACTTGGGAGAAAAGTCATCCGGTAGAGTTAGAGTAGGATTCTACTTGCACGAGCAGAGTCCTACACGTTTTTGCAGCCCTTTTTTGGCTGAAAAATGGGTCTACATAAGGAAGACATTTTTGACCCAATAACTCACCTTTTAGAGTTGTATTGTTCTTGTCCACTCAAACCAATTTCGTCCAAGGTCTTATTAGGACCATAGCAGAAGACTACAGCCCTGGATTCTTGCTCTGTGGAGGACATTTGCAACAATTTCAAGAGGTTAGTGGTTTCTAATCTCGTAATTGTATCATTGTCTAGTTTACATGTATTTGATGCATGGTTTGTATGCTTGTTTACGCTGTGCATGTTCTAACAAAGCTAACACGCAAATTTAGGGATGACAAACCAAACAACAAAAAATTAAAATATGCTAAAAGAGAATATTATAATGGGGGTTTGGTCAATTTGGAAAGAAACAATCAACAATAACACCTCAGCCCCAAATAAGGTATGATCGATTTTCCTGAATTGATAAGTTTTATGTTGATTATCAGCCTACCACAATCCTTCTCTCCTCTTTCCAGGCTTGAGAACGACAATGTGAGCAAGCTTACACGGTAGGAGTTAACAATTAAGAAAAGAAACAACGGGGGGACGGGGGGGGGGGGGGGGATAACAGCTGAGGAGAATTTATTTATATTCTGAGTTTCTCAACTCCCCAAAAGAAAACCAAAGAGTAAAAAGGAAATAATAGAAGAAGAAAAAACATGAACCTTGCACTTTGGAATACTTTCCAATTAAAGCGTGAAGAATGAAAGCAAGCCGCTGTGTCATAACTCTCAGTTTTGAGGCCTAGTTTAGTGTAGCAGATATTGTGTACTCTTTATAAGGTAAAAAGAGTACGGTCTAGTCAGTTTTCGGACTGGTCATTTAAAAATAGTCAGTGTTTGCAAAGTCATTGAAAAATAGCCACCATTTTACTGCAACACGGAAAGTTCCAGCATAATATACTGGAGATCGGTGCACCTGCGTATGAACTTCCAGCATATTATGCTAGAACTCCAACACGCGGAAAGTTCCAGTATATTATGCTAGACCTGTATATTATACTGCAACTCCAATATATTATACTGGAGTATTTTTCCGGATTTTGAACAGTGTTTTTGTTCAGATTTATCTTTGCATGCAAAGTGGCTAAATTTCGATTACTTTTGAAACTGTAGCTATTTTTGAATGATGACTTGTAAATCTGGCTATTTTTGAATTTCTCCCCTTTATTAGCAATACCCAACTGGGCCAAAAATTCCTTTGAAAGGATTTGGGCAAAGTGCAGCAATAGCCACTTTTAACTCCGCTATTTAAAATATATTCACAAATTACAATGTATTTAAAGATTAGCTAACTCACCCAAACTTCAGGACTTAGTGTACTGGATTTTCGAGCTGCTAATTTGAAATGCAGGACTAAGTGTCCTGAATTTCTGAACTACTAATTTAAAATTCAAGATATAAGATTCGAACTTCAGGATACAATTTTCGAACTTTGCGATACGATGTCCTAAAGAATGAATTTTGAGGTTTAAAAGGACGCCGTGTCCTGAAATTTGAGCGAAATTGGCTAATCATTAATTACACTATAAACTGTGAGTATATTTTAAACAACATGCTTAAAAGTGATTACCTGGTGTCATTTCCACAAAGGATTTGAACCAAGATTCAGCTTAAGCCCGTCCAAAAATTATCACATGCATATCTCTCGAGTCCAAATGTTGAATGTATGTTATATTTGAGTGATGGTGCGGGGCCGCACGCATACAAGAAGAAGCTAGTTGCGGGCTTCGGGTGCCATAATAATGTGGGTAGCACACAATAATCTCGAAAATTGACCCATGGATCGTGGTAATGGGCCACGTGGAACTTAATTCGAGGATCTCTTAATGGTGTGAGGCCTTTTGGGGAAAACCGTGCGGACTTGGCCCAAAACGGACAATATCACACCATATTAAGAGTGTATTTGGGCTAATTTATCCCAAAAACAATATTCACAATACCTCATATTGATCTATGGAACAAAGCCCAAACAACGCATTTAGCCAAGTTGAAGAAACGAATGCCTAATGTGATCAGTTTCAGATTTAAAGTGTATGGATTCTGAATTGCGATCGAACTCTGAGCTTGTTTTAATTATTGATTTTAACTAAATATTTATACATATTCAATGATTAAGTAAAAACTATTATGTTCGACTAAACTCGTACATACCGAAAATTGTAGCTTCGCCTTCTCTATTTGTTTTGTCTCTCTATCAACAGTGAGTGGTTCAGTTCCCTCTCCAAAGAGGGTCCAATTTTTTTTTTTTATACCTCTCCCAAATTAGAAGGATCTATAGTATTTTCTTACTTTCCCTCTAGCGTAACTTGAACCCAGGACATAACAATCGTGGGTGAAAATACTTTTACTAACTGAGCATTAATTGTTTAGGCACTAACAATTTCTCCTACCACTTAGAGTTAATAGTTAGGCAACAGTTCAACTGCGGTTATTGTTTGGTCGCAGATCACAACGCATAATAGCTTAGTCGATTTCAATTGTAGTCTCTTAATCACTAAAATGTCTCCTTAAACCTTTTTTCCCTAGTTTAACCTTTCGCAATCAATTACTCTTGTACAAGGTTGTCAATATAAATACAAACTATATTCTAATAAAAAAGAAATAAATTTCCTAAAATTGAAATTTTAGAATATGTTTTTTTTATTACTTTTCTTTAACCAAATTAAGCATAATCTGCGCACCAAATTCGTGTTTTTATACAGCAATTGATTGCTACTTAATTTTTTCAAAACCAAGAAATTAGGAGCCTGAGGAATTTATGTGCTTTTGATCACAAGATTCGAAAGGGGGTTTGTCTCTTTTATGAATAAATTATGGGTGTAATTACGCTAAATGGACCATTTTAGGACTATTGTTTGAATTTTGACATAGTTAAGAAAAATCTTTTGAAAATACCCTCCAGCCAAAATTTTAAAATATGCTGATCAGAAATTTGGAAATGGTTCTGGCAATAACCAAAATTTTGAAGCTCTAGGAATTCAGTCTCCAATGCTAAAAAGTTCTGGTGATCCGTTAGGGTTTGTGGTAAAATCCTGATGATACCCTCATTGTTTAGCATTGTGGCTGAAAATTCTGGTGATTGATCGTCATAACTTGCTGAATTTCTGGCGAGTGTGCTTTAAAATCTGGCTATTTTCAAAAACTTTTTATTATCAGGATTAGAAAATCAACAATGGCACAAAAATATTCTATTTGTGTCATTCTCCTTCAATTATACAAGGACTAAATATAGAGATCATTAATTGTTAATTTCGGTAAGAAATAATCATGTAATTATTTAGAGCATGAATTATGTGAAAATGATATTTATGGAAAGTAGGTTCATGTCCTATACAACCTAAGATTGCCCTCCATGCACGTTTCAACAATCTTGAATATATCTAAAGCAATAATGTCCTCTTAACCAATTCTAATGTAACGTTTAGCTACTAATTGTTTTCTTAATTACTTCTATTTTACTTTTACCCTTTATTTAATTGAGAAACGATTTTCCCGAGTTAAACTATATATGTTGTTGTTTCCTCTTTTATATAGTTGATTCCTTTTATGCAGTAATATAATATATTTAAGTTGTTTTCAAGAGGAAAAAAAGAGAAGCAACTTATAGAAGGCATAGTATATCAATCTACTTATTTCTGGGAGAAAACTAAAACGTTCAGAAACTAAGTTGAATGCAAGAATTTGCAGTAAATATAAACCATAGCGCCTTAAAGAAAATTGTAGTAAAGCATATAATGATTTTTCAAAAGTAAATTGTATCATACACAATGTCAATATATGAAGCAAAACAACTAAAGCATATTATGATATTTAAAAAAATGCTCATAAAGAAGATATTTCACATGTAAGAATCCCTTCATTATTAATAAGAGCATAACAACTAAAGCATTCATTAATAAACATCACACAACAATTCCTTCAATATTTTGATCATTGTATAAATAACTTATTATAAATTGTAATCTTCGCATAACTACCATGTAATTTATTATAAATTGTATTGTACACACTGCTAATACGTGAGTTAAACACCTGTTCGGTCCACAGTCAATTGGTTTGGTTGAACCATGGAATATTGGAAAATCAGTAAATTAAGTTTTTACTTTTGTCTTATTACCATAGTAGGTTAAGTAGGTTTGATCCTTCTTCTTTACTACTATTATCTCGTCAATTCTAAATAAATACCTCATATCACTTTCCCATCTGCCTCTCTTCTGTTCATTCCATCACCATACTCTTCCCTACCACACACACAAAAATGAGTAAAAGAAATTCCTCCACAAATTTTAGTATGAAGAATAAACCAACTTCATCTATTTGGAATTTTAGACTTCAGAGTAATTCCTCTTCTTCTTCAGTGAGTTTTCTGAAGAATATAGGAGCAAAGTTGGCCAGTGCTCTAAGTTTCTTTTCCAATTCCAATTATTACAGAAAAAGGTTGTCACGTAAAGTCTCGTCTTCGAGCTTGGGCAGGTCACGTTCTTATGTAGAAAGATTTGATTCTCAAAGAGCTGAAGCTATAGAGGATTGCATTGAGTTCTTGAATTCTTCAGCCTCTTCACTGCAGAGATCCTATTCTGTTCCCAGTAGTACTTGCTGCTAAATTTTTTTTTTTAAATTTATTTTATATGTCATAAGAAAGTGATCATGTAATTAATAACAAAGTGATGTAAATAAGCCATGTATTTTTTTCCTTTTCTATTTATCTGTCCTTAATTGGTCGTGTTGTCCCTCCGACGCTGTTATATGCTTTGAAAAAAAGAAATAGAGAATTTATACTCTCTGCATACATTAATTAGTATGGGATAATATAATAGGATTTCGGTTCTATTACGTTTATGTATTGGGTAAAAACTACTGTTAGCATATTACATAATACTGACTCAGGGGCGGAGCTAGCCTATCTGCTATAGGTTCGATTGAACCCAGTAGCTTTGGTTCAAACCCTTATTTGTCTTAAAAAATTCATTAAATATGCACTAATTACTAATTTAAAATTCAGTTACTTAAAATGATTAGAATGCTAAACTCATAAGTTTCAAATTCTGGCTCCGCCTTTATACTTGCCGTAAAACTTTTCTCAATATAAAGTTTGCATAAATTGTAATTCTATATATATATGTATTTCTTCCGATTGCTTCCTACTACATTTTGTGTTAGTTCTTCTCTTTTTCTTGTTGTACTTGATTAAATTAAGGAAGATCATGCTTTTGGGATGACAGTCCATTGCTCACAACGGAATGGAAAAGGTTAATGACTTTTAATTTATAGTAGTAAGTGGCCGGAGATAGGACATACGAAATTTGGTTTGTTTCACTATAGAATCCAATTTTCAAACAAACATTAAGGTTCGTTTGGTTTGAAATATAATAAAATTTAATCTCCATATAAAAATTCGTATTACTTATATGCAGCGTCTTATTTCTTGTATAATAGCATGCATAACTAATAAAATCTCCATTTCCGGTATTTTTTTTTTTTTGTAACATTGTGAATATTACCACTGATCAATCAAATGATTACACTTATTAAGCACTTTACATCATAATCAACTCCTCAAAGGATCTATGAATGCTCCATCTCAAACTAGGCTATACATCAATGATATTCCTCAAGAATTCTCTACAGCTATTGGCCTTCCTTGACTTATAAATATTACTTAATCTAACTAACATTTCCTGCTTAATCCGTTCTGCAGTATCTATATTATTTACATTAGTTCCTTTGAAGATCTTCCAATTTCTTGCCTTCCACGTATGATAGAAGACAGCTCCCATTGTTGCTGCAACCACTTCTTTCTTTAACTGTTTCCACATCTTCTTTTTGATGTTGTTTATTGTGCTCACTATGTCTCCTTCTTGCAATTGTACACCAAGCCATCTCAGCATCTCAGCACGAACATTTCTTATCCAGTTGCATTCAACAAATAAGTGTTGACTTGTTTCAGTCGTTTTTTGTTCATCACATAAACAACATTCCACATTATCCACATGAATCTGCAACTTCACCAGCATTTTCTTTGTTAGTAGTCTCCTTTGAGCTCCCAGCCACACAAAAAACCTTTGTTTTGGCTGTGCTACGCTACTCCATATCAAATCTGCCGTATGCAGTCTTTGCATTTCCCCTAGCAGTGCAATATAACTCCTATTTATTGAGTAATCACCACCCCTTCCCAAGTTATACACTCCTTGTTCATACCATCTATCATATCCTCCTTTAAAGAGTTAATCTTCTTCCAATACCAACTACAATCAGTTGGTATCTTATGATTCCAAATGCTTGTATCAGTTTTCATATACAATCCAAGCACCCACTTCATCCATAGAGCTTCTTTGTTATTGATTATCTGCCATAATAATTTCCCCACTGATGCTACATTCCATAGTTTACTTCCTTTAACATTCAGCCCACCTAATTTCTTAGGAAGACATATTCAATCCCATGGCACTAAGGCAAGTGTCCTCCTGTCTTCGGTACTTCCCCAACCTACATATGCTGTCAACTTTTTTTACCGCAACCTGAGGTAGAATGAATACAGAGCTTCAGAAGTTGCAGATGGAAAACAACACAGAATTTACCACCTGCAGTCTGCTTGCATGTAAGGCCCTGTAAATTGTTTTCCTAAAAATTCGAATTCCGTGGTGTCGAGTAGGCGTAGGTGTTAATAGTAGTAAAAATTCTTCGCGGCTAGACTGAGCAGTACATTAAAAAGTTAAAGGAAAATATTTTGCAGAAAAGGCATTTTTGCGGCCCACTATGCTGCCGCAGAATCACTCTGCGGGGCGCAGAATGGCCGCAGAGTGAGGCAGTCTTTTTTGCCAATTTTGATGTCATTTTTGCGGCCCATTATGCGGTCACAGAACCATTTCGTGAGCCGCACTTTGATCGCATATCGAACTTTGAGATTTGTCAGATGGGAGTTCTGTGTCGCATTCTGTGACCGCAGATTGGTCGCAGGCCGAGGCAGAAAAACTCCAATTCCGGAGGGCCAATTATGCGGCCCATTTGCGGACCGCAGAAGCGTTATGCGATCGCATATGCGACCGCAGATCTGTGTCGGGGCTCCTTTTTCCTAATCTTTAAAAATACATATCATACACCATTTTGAGCTTTTTTCTGATGTTCTAGAGTGGGGGAGAGAGTTTTCAGAGAGAGAGATCAACCTTCACACTAATATCCATCAATTCTTGCTAAATCCTTGAAGATTATCAAAAGAGACACCTAGGTCTTCTTCACAAGAGGTAAGGTTCTATCACCCAATCTCCTAATTTCGAAATGTAGCTAAAATGGGGCATTAATAAGGTAATTCATGGGGATGGAAGTGCTTACCTTGCATGCATGTATTCTTAAAGGTATAAGGGGAGGTTGTGAGTAAAAGATGGAAAAGAATAGGGTGTGGGTGGTGTAGATTTCCATAAAAAGGGCCATGAAACCTTAATACAAACATAGTGTTTGATATAATGCTCTAGTGAGCTAGAATTATGATCATTCTCCTAATTTTGGGTTCAATTTTGCTATATTGCTAAAATAGATTGAAGTTGCTAAATATTGGAACATCTTAAAGCTTTAAGAGGCTCAACTAAGGTTTCTGAGCTCCATTTCATCCAAAGATCAATTAGTTTTATTTCTCAAAATATCACCCAGTAAGTCAAACAAAAATTTGGAAGACTAGGAAGTAATACTAATTGGGAGAGAATTTAGAGTCCAGCCTTCTTATTCGCCCTGGTGATGGACGCGTTAACACACCATATTCAAGGGGAGGTGCCATGGTGCATGCTATTCGTCGATGACATAGTTCTGATTGATGAGTCGCGAGCCGGTGTTAACGAGAGACTGGAATTTCGGAGACATGCTCTTGAGTCTAAGGGTTTCAAGCTGAGCAGGACGAAGACGGAATACCTGGAGTATAAGTTTAGCGCTGAGCCGGGGGAAGTGGGTGTGGATGTGAGGCTTGAATCACATGTCATCTCAAGTAGAGGCAGCTTCAAGTACCTTGGGTCGGTTATCCAGGGGGGAGGGGAGATCGACGAGGATGTCACACACCGTATTGAGATAGGATGGATGAATTGGAGGTTAGCATCTGCAGTCCTGTGTGACAAGAGAGTGCCACCGATACTCAAAGGTAAATTCTATAAAGCGGTGGTTAGACCAGCCATGGTGTATGGGGCTGAGTGTTGGTTTGTTAAGAACTCACATATCCAGAAGATGAAAGTAGCAGAAATGAGGATGTTGAGGTGGATGTGCGGGCACACTAGGATGGATAAGATTAGGAATGATGATATGTGGGAGAAGGTGCACGTGGCTCCCATTGATGACAAGATGCAGGAAGCGAGGCTCAGATGGTTCGGGCATGTTCAGAGGAGAAGCCCAGATGCCCCAGTAAGGAGGTGTGAGCGGCTGGTTGTGGAGGGCACGAGAAGAGGTAGAGGGCGGCCTAAGAAGTATTGGGGAGAGGTGATCAGGCAGGATATGGCGAGGCTTCAGATTTCTGAGGACATGACAATTGATAGGAAGATGTGGAGGTCGAGTATTAGGGTTGTAGGTTAGGAGGTAGTTGAGTCTTGCCTTACTTCGTACCTTTGTGAGACTAGTCTAGTAAGGTTTTTGTCTAAGATAGCTAGTGGCAATGTTGTATCTTACTATTTCGCTTTTCAGTGCATGACCTATTTACTAGCTATCACTTTTGCTTTGCATCTTTCTTCTGGATTTTATGTTGTTCCTATTTTTCCTATGATTTCTGTGGTGATACTAATATTGTCTTCTTTTGTCTTTTTGTTTTCTTGAGCCGAGGGTCTTTCGGAAACAACCTCTCTACTCCTTGGGGTAGGGGTATGGTCTGCGTACACACTACCCTCCCCAGACCCCCACTAATGGAATTTACTGGGTTGTTGTTGTTATTGTTGGAAATCCCTATAAATCAGAAAATATATAAGATTGTCAAATGGGAAAAACTACTACCTCTCGTATGCAAAATCAATAGTGATGGTAGTTGTGTGAAGGGATATTATGGGGCTGGTAGTACTATTTGAGATAGTGGGGAAAAACTCATCCTCGCATACGCTGTATATTTGGTACCTGGTACTAGTAATTGGGCAGAAGGCCAGGATATGCTAATTGGATTACAAAAGGCTATCGCAATGGGAATAACTGAAATGATTTCAGAAGCGGATTCTAAAGTCCTTGTGTGTTCAGCAAAGGAGGAAGCAGATACACTATGGAGGCTTCTACAAACAGTGAATAAGATCAAAGAAATTGTGGAGGAAAAGAAGGTGACCGTGAAGCACTGCTACAGAGAAGCCAACAGAGTTGCCGATAAACTAGCCGCTAGCCAACAGAGTTGCCGATAGACTAGCCGCCATTAGCCACAAACATAAACAACACATCAATACCTCAAATTCTGAAGCATTATCGAGACAAATTAGGCGGTTACTATATTTTGATAGATTGGAATTGGCAGTGTTTCGAGTAAGACAATTGTGAAAGCCTCAAAAATCCAGGCTACCTTTTTATATACCCCATCTCACAGTGGATAACTTTTGTGGATGGTTACTCGATTACCTATAGTTATTTTTTACCAATAATATAAAAATTCTTTTATACTGTCAGCATATAAAAGTTAAACTCGTATCTTATATACACATAGTATATCCACTAAATAGAATAAGGTTTGGGAATCTTACATAAATGTCCCAAATAAGTTTTAACTTACCAACCTCTAGTTATTAGTCATAAACTTATCAAAACTAGCCAAGCATATAAAAATTGAAAACCCAAATAAATAAGATTATTTTTCTCCAAGAATCACACATACAGATCTCCTTCCATATTTTTATGTGTGATCAGCAACACTATACGCAAGACGAAAAGAAAATTTTATGGATGAGGTAACAAACAATGTGATGAAATACAAATATATATATATATATATATATATATATATATATATATATATATATATATATATATAA